AGGATGGGGGTTGGGACAGGATGGGGGTTGGGACAGATGGGGGTTGGGACAGGATGGGGGTTGGGACAGGATGGGGGTTGGGACAGGATGGGGGTTGGGACAGGATGGGGGTTGGGACAGGATGGGGGTTGGGACAGGATGGGGGTTGGGACAGGATGGGGGTTGGGACAGGATGGGGGTTGGGACAGGATGGGGGTTGGGACAGGATGGGGGTTGGGACAGGATGGGGGTTGGGACAGGATGGGGGTTGGGACAGGATGGGGGTTGGGACAGGATGGGGGTTGGGACAGGATGGGGTTGGGACAGGATGGGGTTGGACAGGATGGGGGTTGGGACAGGATGGGGGTTGGGACAGGATGGGGGTTGGGACAGGATGGGGGTTGGGACAGGATGGGGGTTGGGACAGGATGGGGGTTGGGACAGGATGGGGGTTGGGACAGGATGGGGGTTGGGACAGGATGGGGGTTGGGACAGGATGGGGGTTGGGACAGGATGGGGGTTGGGACAGGATGGGGGTTGGGACAGGATGGGGGTTGGGACAGGATGGGGGTTGGGACAGGATGGGGGTTGGGACAGGATGGGGGTTGGGGACAGGATGGGGGTTGGGACAGGATGGGGGTTGGGACAGGATGGGGGTTGGGACAGGATGGGGGTTGGGACAGGATGGGGGTTGGGACAGGATGGGGGTTGGGACAGGATGGGGGTTGGGACAGGATGGGGGTTGGGACAGGATGGGGGTTGGGACAGGATGGGGGTTGGGACAGGATGGGGGTTGGGACAGGATGGGGGTTGGGACAGGATGGGGGTTGGGACAGGATGGGGGTTGGGACAGGATGGGGGTTGGGACAGGATGGGGGTTGGGACAGGATGGGGGTTGGGACAGGATGGGGGTTGGGACAGGATGGGGGTTGGGACAGGATGGGGGTTGGGACAGGATGGGGGTTGGGACAGGATGGGGGTTGGGACAGGATGGGGGTTGGGACAGGATGGGGGTTGGGACAGGATGGGGGTTGGGACAGGATGGGGGTTGGGACAGGATGGGGGTTGGGACAGGATGGGGGTTGGGACAGGATGGGGGTTGGGACAGGATGGGGGTTGGGACAGGATGGGGGTTGGGACAGGATGGGGGTTGGGACAGGATGGGGGTTGGGACAGGATGGGGGTTGGGACAGGATGGGGGTTGGGACAGGATGGGGTTGGGACAGGATGGGGGTTGGGACAGGATGGGGGTTGGGACAGGATGGGGGTTGGGACAGGATGGGGGTTGGGACAGGATGGGGGTTGGGACAGGATGGGGGTTGGGACAGGATGGGGGTTGGGACAGGATGGGGGTTGGGACAGGATGGGGGTTGGGACAGGATGGGGGTTGGGACAGGATGGGGGTTGGGACAGGATGGGGGTTGGGACAGGATGGGGTTGGGACAGGATGGGGGTTGGGACAGGATGGGGGTTGGGACAGGATGGGGGTTGGGACAGGATGGGGGTTGGGACAGGATGGGGGTTGGGACAGGATGGGGGTTGGGACAGGATGGGGGTTGGGACAGGATGGGGGTTGGGACAGGATGGGGGTTGGGACAGGATGGGGGTTGGGACAGGATGGGGGTTGGGACAGGATGGGGGTTGGGACAGGATGGGGTTGGGACAGGATGGGGGTTGGGACAGGATGGGGGTTGGGACAGGATGGGGGTTGGACAGGATGGGGGTTGGGACAGGATGGGGGTTGGGACAGGATGGGGGTTGGGACAGGATGGGGGTTGGGACAGGATGGGGGTTGGGACAGGATGGGGGTTGGGACAGGATGGGGGTTGGGACAGGATGGGGGTTGGGACAGGATGGGGGTTGGGACAGGATGGGGGTTGGGACAGGATGGGGGTTGGGACAGGATGGGGGTTGGGACAGGATGGGGGTTGGGACAGGATGGGGGTTGGGACAGGATGGGGGTTGGGACAGGATGGGGGTTGGGACAGGATGGGGGTTGGGACAGGATGGGGGTTGGGACAGGATGGGGGTTGGGACAGGATGGGGGTTGGGACAGGATGGGGGTTGGGACAGGATGGGGGTTGGGACAGGATGGGGGTTGGGACAGGATGGGGGTTGGGACAGGATGGGGGTTGGGACAGGATGGGGGTTGGGACAGGATGGGGGTTGGGACAGGATGGGGGTTGGGACAGGATGGGGGTTGGGACAGGATGGGGGTTGGGACAGGATGGGGGTTAGGGACAGGATGGGGTTGGGACAGGATGGGGGTGGGACAGGATGGGGGTTGGGACAGGATGGGGGTTGGGACAGGATGGGGGTTGGGACAGGATGGGGGTTGGGACAGGATGGGGGTTGGGACAGGATGGGGGTTGGGGACAGGATGGGGGTTGGGACAGGATGGGGGTTGGGACAGGATGGGGGTTGGGACAGGATGGGGGTTGGGACAGGATGGGGGTTGGGACAGGATGGGGGTTGGGACAGGATGGGGTTGGGACAGGATGGGGTTGGGACAGGATGGGGGTTGGGACAGGATGGGGGGTTGGGACAGGATGGGGGTTGGGTGACAGGATGGGGGTTGGGACAGGATGGGGGTTGGGACAGGATGGGGGTTGGGACAGGATGGGGGTTGGGACAGGATGGGGGTTGGGACAGGATGGGGGTTGGGACAGGATGGGGGTTGGGACAGGATGGGGGTGGGACAGGATGGGGGTTGGGACAGGATGGGGGTTGGGACAGGATGGGGGTTGGGACAGGATGGGGGTTGGGACAGGATGGGGGTTGGGACAGGATGGGGGTTGGGGACAGGATGGGGGTTGGGACAGGATGGGGGTTGGGACAGGATGGGGGTTGGGACAGGATGGGGGTTGGGACAGGATGGGGGTTGGGACAGGATGGGGGTTGGGACAGGATGGGGGTTGGGACAGGATGGGGGTTGGGACAGGATGGGGGTTGGGACAGGATGGGGGTTGGGACAGATGGGGGTTGGGACAGGATGGGGGTTGGGACAGGATGGGGGTTGGGACAGGATGGGGGTTGGGACAGGATGGGGGTTGGGACAGGATGGGGGTTGGGACAGGATGGGGGTTGGGACAGGATGGGGGTTGGGACAGGATGGGGGTTGGGACAGGATGGGGTTGGGACAGGATGGGGGTTGGGACAGGATGGGGGTTGGGACAGGATGGGGGTTGGGACAGGATGGGGGTTGGGACAGGATGGGGGGTTGGGACAGGATGGGGGTTGGGACAGGATGGGGGTTGGGACAGGATGGGGGTTGGGACAGGATGGGGGTTGGGACAGGATGGTGGTTGGGACAGGATGGGGGTTGGGACAGGATGGGGTTGGGACAGGATGGGGGTTGGGACAGGATGGGGGTTGGGACAGGATGGGGTTGGGACAGGATGGGGGTTGGGACAGGATGGGGGTTGGGACAGGATGGGGGTTGGGACAGGATGGGGGTTGGGACAGGATGGGGGTTGGGACAGGATGGGGGTTGGGACAGGATGGGGGTTGGGACAGGATGGGGGTTGGGACAGGATGGGGGTTGGGACAGGATGGGGGTTGGGACAGGATGGGGGTTGGGACAGGATGGGGGTTGGGACAGGATGGGGGTTGGGACAGGATGGGGGTTGGGACAGGATGGGGGTTGGGACAGGATGGGGGTTGGGACAGGATGGGGGTTGGGACAGGATGGGGGTTGGGACAGGATGGGGGTTGGGACAGGATGGGGGTTGGGACAGGATGGGGGTTGGGACAGGATGGGGGTTGGGACAGGATGGGGGTTGGGACAGGATGGGGGTTGGGACAGGATGGGGGTTGGGACAGGATGGGGGTTGGGACAGGATGGGGGTTGGGACAGGATGGGGGTTGGGACAGGATGGGGGTTGGGACAGGATGGGGGTTGGGACAGGATGGGGGTTGGGACAGGATGGGGGTTGGGACAGGATGGGGGTTGGGACAGGATGGGGGTTGGGACAGGATGGGGGTTGGGACAGGATGGGGGTTGGGACAGGATGGGGGTTGGGACAGGATGGGGGTTGGGACAGGATGGGGGTTGGGACAGGATGGGGGTTGGGACAGGATGGGGGTTGGGACAGGATGGGGGTTGGGACAGGATGGGGGTTGGGACAGGATGGGGGTTGGGGGTGGACAGGATGGGGGTTGGGACAGGATGGGGGTTGGGACAGGATGGGGGTTGGGACAGGATGGGGGTTGGGACAGGATGGGGGTTGGGACAGGATGGGGGTTGGGACAGGATGGGGGTTGGGACAGGATGGGGGTTGGGACAGGATGGGGGTTGGGACAGGATGGGGGTTGGGACAGGATGGGGGTTGGGACAGGATGGGGGTTGGGACAGGATGGGGGTTGGGACAGGATGGGGGTTGGGACAGGATGGGGGTTGGGACAGGATGGGGGTTGGGACAGGATGGGGGTTGGGACAGGATGGGGGTTGGGACAGGATGGGGGTTGGGACAGGATGGGGGTTGGGACAGGATGGGGGTTGGGACAGGATGGGGGTTGGGACAGGATGGGGGTTGGGACAGGATGGGGGTTGGGACAGGATGGGGGTTGGGACAGGATGGGGGTTGGGACAGGATGGGGGTTGGGACAGGATGGGGGTTGGGACAGGATGGGGGTTGGGACAGGATGGGGGTTGGGACAGGATGGGGGTTGGGACAGGATGGGGGTTGGGACAGGATGGGGGTTGGGACAGGATGGGGGTTGGGACAGGATGGGGGTTGGGACAGGATGGGGGTTGGGACAGGATGGGGGTTGGGACAGGATGGGGGTTGGGACAGGATGGGGGTTGGGACAGGATGGGGGTTGGGACAGGATGGGGGTTGGGACAGGGAAGGGAGTGAATATGTGTGCAATGGACATGCAGCATGTCGTGAAAGAGGTCCACCTGATGTCCGGCACGCGTGATTGGCACCAGTGCAGACAGTCCACGTAATTCACCGGCTGTGAAGGGTGGGGGTTGGGGATGCGAGTGGGGATGGGCGTGGGAGTGGATATGTGTGCGGTCAAACATGCACCAAAACTGGAAATGCAATTCGTTTTGCATGATTGCGAGGAGTGCGAGGGGTGAGAGGGTTGAGGGGTGAGAGGGACGAGAGGAGCGAGAGGAGAGAGGATTCAGAGGTACGCACATTGTTCTTTTTCGAGTAGATCCCGCAGTGCGCCTCGGGCCGGTACGCGCTCACGAGCGTGATGTCAAACCGCCGCACCGCCGACCCCTCGGGGAACGCGGCGCGCTGCATGGGCCAATAGCGCGAGAGCTGCACGTTGGTGCGCAGCATCTTGTCGATCTCCTTCTCGTTCAGCACGCGCCCCGGCGACCCGCACACGCCGCTGCCGCCGATCTTCTTGGCGGAGTGCTGCGGCGGCGCCGTCATGAAGAAGGGCACAGGGAACGCATTCCCCGCCTGCCGCCGCGCCTCAAAGAAGTTGGCTATCGTTTTCAGCGCGCGCCTGGAGTGGGAAGAGGGGAGAAACGGGGCAGCGGGGAAGGGGGAAAGGGGAGGAGAAGGATACGTCGAAGGAGGGCGGATGCGTGAGTGTGCTACATGCGTGCGAGCGTGCATCGTTTCCCCTCTTAATCACAAGCCCCATGCACCCACCCTCCCTGCCCGCAGCACTCACGCGTGCGCCATGTAGGGGTCGACGACGTTGAGCGGCCAGTCACACAGGCGCCATGCATCCCCTTCCCCTTCCCCTTCCCCCTCTCAGCCACCCCCCCTTTGCACTCACGCGTGCGCCATGTAGGGGTCGACGCCGTTGAACGTCTACACCCCCTTCCCCTTCCTCTTCCCCTTCCCCTTCCCCATCTCCACCCCCCCGCGCGGCACTCACGCGTGCGTCATGTAGGGGTCGACGCCGTTGAGCGTCTACACCCCCTTCCCCTTCCTCTTTCCCTTCTCCTTACCCATCTCCACCCCCCCGCGCGGCACTCACGCGTGCGCCATGTAGGGGTCGACCCCGTTGAGCGTCTGCCAGTCGTCGTTGGTGAAGATGAGGCGAGGCGCGTCAGGCACCACGCGCCAGTGCGACGTGGTCTCCAGCAGCACGGCGTGCCACTCGCCCACCACGTCGCCCCACTGCGGGTTCACCGTCTCCACGTCGATTATTGCGTCGTCCGGCCCGGGCGTGAACCCCGTCGCCAGTTTGGCTATCATGCCCTTGTCTAGGGGATTGTGTGAGTACATGAGTGTGGGCGTGGTTGCGTGTGTGTGAGCAAGGGGGAAGAGAGGGAGAGGAAGATCAGCACGGTGCGCCATTACGTCGCCCCACTGATGCTGACGGCGCTGCAAGGCACCTCTCACCACGCTCCTCCCCGCTACCCACAGCAAAGCCTGCTTCGTCTACCCCCAACGTGGTTACCAAGTTACGACACTGCCTGCCCTCCCCTCCCAACGTACCGGTGGAGGTGCGCATGAGGTAGTCGTCCCAGATGCTGACGATGCGCGCGCCGAACGCGGGGATGTCGTAATAGAACGCCACCATGGGCGGCATATACTGCGCGCCGCTGCCGCCGCTCAGCGTGCGCCGCGACCCGTTCTTGACCGTCGTGACCTCGCTGATCTGCGCGCCAACGGCAGTCGCGGAGAGGCGCGATGGGAGGGGGGGGGGAGGACAGACAAGCGCAGACACGGGCAGACAAGGTCAAGGAGGGCGATTGCGGGCGGAGGAGGGCGGATGAAGGCGGGGGATGGCGGAGGAGGACGGAGTAGGGGGGACAAGGTCAAGGAGGTGTGAGTCCAGAGGAAGAGTTGCGAGCGCCACTTGGCGCAGCAGAGTCTCTCCCACCTCACCCCCACAGCAGCGACTAGCCCTCGACCCTCGCCTCACCTGGCACAGCAGAGAGGGCACGAAGTTGGCGGCCGTGAGCGAGTCGCCGATGACGGCGATGGTCTTGCCCTTGATCATGTTCAAGAACGACCTGCACGGATCACATGTGGATTCAAAATAAGATTCGATTCAGATTCGCGTTGAGGTTGCGGCTTCGATCAGCATGCGCTGCACGTTAGCACATTGCGATGGAGCGATGAGGGGACGGGCAGCCTGAACGAGGATAGCGCGCCGAAGCAAGGACCGCGGTATTGGTCTGATAGCGGAGGTAGTGACAGCAACGAGCGGGGTGCGCGTGGTCTAGGTTAACCGCGATTTGTGGGGGTGCGATCGCGCGTGGGTGCATTTTCGATACAGGGGACGCACGAGGGACGCGTGCGGGAAGCGCGCGGGCCAGCGCGGGGGGGAGACGCACTTGGAGTTGAAGCGGAGCGTGCGGCCGCAGCTTTCGGAGTACCACGAGTAGCGCACGAACCCGCTGTCCGGCCGCCCGTTGCCGCGACACCGGGAAATCTGAAACTGCGCAGGGGGGGACGCGCGGAATGGGGCAGGGCGCGCGGAGGGCGAAATGCGGAGTGGAGGGGGGTGGAAGATGGGAAAGTTAGGGGAGGGGGAAGGGAGGGCAGAAGTGACAGAGGCAAGGAAAGAGGAAAGGGGACGCGCAGGGGGTCGCGCGGCGAGCTTACAAGGAAAGGGCAGCTCTCGTCGTAGGGCGGCCGCGACGAGTCTGCCACCCATTTGCCGTCGAACAAATCGCATGACAACGTTAGGCCAATGAGAATGCTCCACGTCAACGCTGTGCACTGTAACGCTAAACTGCCACCGAGTCTGCTGCAGTGCCACCACATGGCACCTCCGGTCCTACACTCCGATAACAACGGCTAGATGTCTGTAGACAGTCTATCTAAGAGCGTGCTAACTACTAATGCGAGGTCTACTTTCCTTGCAGAGTGCTAGCGTGGGGGGGCTAGTCAAGGCTTCCTGCAACTCCTAGAAATGTAGCGGCATTTGCAACGAGCTTCTCGTGAAAATGCAAACGCTGTTTGCGACGGGTTGGCGCCTCATGATTGTATGCGGTATGGCCGTGGGCGGTGCGCGACTGGGTGGCAACGAGACGTGATTTACACGTAGAGGCTGAGAGATGGCAAACTGGGAGGAGCGACGCATGAGTGCAACAGTGTCGTCGCGTCTCGTCGTCACGTAAGAACTCTAGAGGCTGTGAAGCTTCTGAAATGAGCTGGTTAAAGCACTATTGTGACATTATTCAGCGTGGTGAAGGTTCATGGCGAAAAGGCCTACATGGACGATTGGTTTTTACCGTCCGTACATTCTGGTCCTACGACGTTCAACGTTTCGCCCATCATTATAAAACACAGGTCTTGCACCTCACTTTGTATCGCAAGGCCAAGAGAGCAGCCAAGGCGAGAGCAGCGACGGGACAGATCTGATGTGGCAGTGTCAGCTGTATCTCGCAGTGCTCTTGACTGTGCGTGTGTTTCGAGTCCCACCCTAGATAGGCGCGCCATAGTGATATGCGGGCTGAAAGAGGGTTGTTGGGCTCAAATGGAACCCATCCGTGAATCCATCGTGGTTGTCGGCCAGGTGAAGGAGGATGGGCGAGACGAGGAGGGGGAAAGTCCTGCTGACGACCAGGCAGCCCAATGATGCAGTCAATTCGCGCTTCGCTCAGAACCCGAATTTCGACATGCGGCTCGTTCTCGCGGGCAATTTTCGTTCCACCGCCTTAGCGGCGCGAGGTTGTTCGGCGAATGTGTGCCCTCAGATTATGATCTGATTGATGAGTGATTGATCCTGTGGTTCCAGTGAGCGAATGTAGCGAAATGTTTGGACGATTGTTACACGGCGAAGCGAGGGCAAATGACATGGATAAGTTATCATGTTAGAATAGTCATTTTTTACATCAACCTCATCAGTCACTGCCAAAACCAGGTTAGAAGTTGCTTTGGGTCAGAATGGAAACCCTAAACCAGGATAAACAGAAGCTTGAGCAGGGACCGAATGGAAAGCACTAGGCAATACGTTGCTGACCACTTGTCTAGACTGGAACCCCCTTGTGAACTGCCATTACACAAGAGTTAGTGCCTCCACATCAACTTTTGCCAGAGGAAAGCCAACAAAAGGGCAAAACCACTAGCACTAGACCCAACCTACCGTAATTACTTTCTTCCCCCCCTATGCCAAGGCCTTCTGGACCTTCCACCCCCAGCGCCTCTACCACCTTGACCACCCCCTCCCTGAATGCCCTGCACGGCCCGGCCAATGAGCTTCCCACCACCGCCGCCACCTGCACTGCCATCCTGCCGCACCTTCTTCTGCTGCGGTGCTGCTGCCGCCCCGCCCCTGCCATTTGCTGGCCCTGCCCCTCGCTTCGCCCTGCTTGCAGCAGTGTGGGGGGGGTGACGGGGGGGGGGGGAGGGAGAGTAGAGAGGACGTGGGGGTGGGAAGGGGAAGGGATGAAATAGGGGGAAGGCGGGGTGTTCAAGTGAGATGGGCCTGCCAGGAGCAGCGGAGGCATAGCAAGCACACAAGGCGAGCCGAGCACTTTGCGTGCTCTCGACCACGCAAAACAAGATGCAGGGCTGTTGGAGCAGGAGAGCAGTGAGACTGACCCGACTGCTTGTGCTGGGCCAGGCTTGGCAGCGGAGGGCCCTGCAGGGGCAGCAGCCTCGGGCTTCCAGGAGAGTGCCGGTGCTGCCTTGCCACCCAGGAACTGCGGCACAGAGGACTTGAGTGGCTGGGCGGCGGAGCAGCATAGGGCGCGGACGGGGCAAAGGGCAAGAGGCACACAGGAGTGGAGGGGGACAGAGTCAGTGGTGCTTCTGTGCAGGGCGGGTGGGAGTGCGCGTGGCAGATTGCCGTCCAGAAAGGGACGTGTGGTGACGTAGGAGTGTGGTGGGGAGCATGTTGGCTGAGGTGGGATGCAGGGGAAGTGAGATACTCGTGCACGAGGGCGGACGGAACAGTCGAGGCACAGCCATGATTGGGCAGCGCGAGTGCATGAGATGATTCAAAGAGCATGAGATGATTCAAAGAGCATGAGATGATTCAAAGAGCATGAGATGATTCAAAGAGAGCAGTGCTGGCTGCACCACCACTGCTGCTATGCCACCACCCTTGCTGTCACCCCAACACACCTTGCTGAGCTTCTCCATGTTCTGCAGTGCCTTGAGCGTGCGCGCCGCTGCTGCCTTCTTCTCCTTCTGCCATCATTAACCCACACAGGGTGAGCGTGGGCAACCAGGTGGCATGCGCGTTTGAGCATTTGAACATATGTGCACGTATGAACGTGTGCATGTATGAAGCATGGAATGACACAGAATGTGTTAGCTCCCCATGACTCAGGCAGAACACGGAGCAGGCAGGCAGGCAGGCAGGCAGGGAGGGAGGAGGAAGGGAGGAGGGGGGAGCTTACAAGGTCGGTGATGGTGGGCTCGTCCTTGGCGGAGCGCTGCTGCTTGCTGACCTCCGCCACCTCCTGCAGCACCGCCTTGATGCGCTTCTTCACCTCCTCCTCCATGCCCGCCACCCTGGGGGCACGGGGAACACGGCAGCCAGCGCACACAGAGCACAGAGCAGGCATCAGCGAGCAAGCAGCAGGCCGTGGGAAACGATAGCACCAGCGAAACCAGCCTATGAGCGGTGAAGGAAACGGGTGGAGATGGTGGGGAATGAGCCTTCACCTGGCAAGCAAGGCCTTACCTGGACAGGTATTACCTGGACAAGTGTTATTTGGACAGGCCTGGACAGGTATTACCTGGAAAAGTGTTATTTGGACAGGCCTGGACAGGTATTACCTGGACAAGTGTTATTTGGACAGGCCTGGACAGGTATTACCTGGACAAGTGTTATTTGGACAGGCCCGGACAGGTATTACCTGGACAAGTGTTATTTGGACAGGCCTGGACAGGTATTACCTGGACAAGTGTTATTTGGACAGGCCCGGACAGGTATTACCTGGACAAGTGTTATTTGGACAGGCGTTACCTGAATGGGCCTTATGTGGCCATGCACTACCTGAACACGCGTCACCTGGGCGAATGTCATCTGGGAAAGCATCACCTGGGCAGGCGTCACCAGGGCAGGTGTTACCTGGCGAGCCAGTCAGCATGCAGGTCTTTGAAGTCCTCCCCCAGGCGGTCGGACGGCTGCCCCGTCACGATCTTGTAGCCGCACAGCGCATTCGTGGCGTTGGGCGTCTGTGGCAGGCAGGCAGGGCGGTGAGGCAGCGCGGTGAGGCAGGAAGGGAGGGAGGGAGGGAGGGAGGGAGGGAGGGAGGGAGGGAGGGAGGGAGGGAGGGAGGGAGGGAGGGAGGTGACACAACGGAATTGTTTGGCCATTCGTACTGTAGCAGACAAATGCGCGTCCATGCATGCAACGAGTGAGCACAGACACAGCCACGGCATGTGACTGTCCAGCAGTGCCACCCTTGCACTTGGCTCTCATGCGCTCATACAGAGAGAGCCTGTATGCTGCACAGGCGTGGTACGAGGCGCCTGAGAGCAGAACTGGCGTGATTACACGTGCACAAGCAGGGTGAGTGCGAGGCAGGCGAGGGAGAAGAGCACCTTGTGGGCGAGCTGGTTGAAGGTGAACAGCAGCGCCTCCAGCGCCGTCACGTCCACATCTGCGCCCTTCTTTGCCATGTAGTCCTGCGGGGCGGGGAAGGGATGGTGCATTGTGGGAAGGAGAGAGAGTTGAGTCATCAGGGAGCTTGTTGGCTGGAAGTGAGCGCTACAAGGAATGGAATTGAGCCCCGGACTGAAGGCACGCGCTCACCTTTAGCAAGTCAGTGACCCCTCCCCTGGCGGCAGTACCCTGAGCCCTGAACCCTGCGGCTGAGACAGCATGCACTCGCTTTTGAGCAGTGGATTGGATTCACACCTTGAGCAGGTCTGTGACCCCCGGCAGCAGGTGTCTGGAGTCAGCCGGTGATGTGAAGGGCGACGCCTCCGCCATGCTCCTCAGCAGCTCTCCCCTCCTGTCCTCCGCCACCTGCCAGGCATCACATGGGGGCATGACGGCGTTATAATATGATGGGCATGGTGGCATGATGGGCA